ATACAGTATATTGTAGGCACGATTATCAACATTAAAGTTTATCATGGATTGCACACTTTTAGTTCCACCTATGGCGGCTGGTTGGGGTAGGCACATGATTATGTCTCCTCGTTCCACCTTATCACGCTCACTGATCACTGGCTTGATGAATCAACCGGGCATTTTACTGGATTGGCGATAAAAATCTACATCATAAAGATTCTTGCCGTCTTCCTCTACAATTTCAATAATTTGCCCCACATAGTAGACATCACGACCTGTACTTTCCTTATTCGAAGGAATAAACTTTATCAATACAAAGTCGTCCTTGCCGGGCTCTTTTGACTGATCAACAAAATCATCAACAAACACCTCACCAAACTCCTCACTAGAATCAGTGAGTACGATGCTATCGTATTCTTCTTCAAAATCATCATCTGGAGTTGCTGTGACTTGCACTGGGACTATTGCTTGCCGTGCTGATTGTGCCTTCTTTGTTCCTGTTTTATTATGTTTAAGCTTTTCAAGCAGGGTTTTTATTTCCGGAGTATCGGTGATTTATTTGCAGCCAACAACTGCTCTTGTACGAGGTTTCATCGGGTTAGCTGGGTTTCGTTTAGGCTATGGTCTCAAATCTACTAGCTTCGAAAACTAGTTTCATGGTCAGATGAGCTATTCGGTGGTATGTTATCATTCACGTTTTCATGTTGATCATCTGCGTTCTCCGCAATGTCGTCACCAGGTACTGAATCATCGACAGGGGCATCGGGATTACGATTCACGAAGACAGAAGCCGCCAAGAATTCGTCATCAGTAAATACATCAAAGTTTAGTGGACAAATTCCCGTCTTCTGGAACACTGATGAGATATTCTCATGCGATAGAGCGCGAGAAAATGCCTTAGTGAAACGTTCCGGCAGATCATATATTGTGATGCGCTTACCAGGATTACTCAGGTTCCACTCGTTCACGGCTTTTTTATAGTGCGTTTTTAGTGGTCCATAGACGGTGACATCAAGGGGTTGCAGCTTGTGTGACGTGTGGGGAGGGAATGTTATTATAGACAGTTTATTTTATTACAATATGTGAGCATATTATGTAGTTGCCACTCGGTGGGCACAATTTGGGGGTTCACCCCACGGTCTAAAAGCCTATATCTCTAGCTGTGCCAACATTTCTTCTAGCTGCATAGAACATATACCTCGCATCTTGCCTTACGTATTTAACAATGATGGCAGGATTGGCCCCAGATCTTGGCTTGGGCAGGCGGTATGAGATGCTAATGTCCTCATGTGAGAGGGTGCTACTGCCAGTGTACCTGCATCTGTGTGCCAATTTTTTTAGCTCACCTTGACATCGTCAAGATGAGCTATTGCCATGGGGCGCCGTCTGTCGTACGTCCGTCCGTCAACATTTGGCTACGGTCAACGATAATTTAAGAACCGTTTGACCCACATGTTTCAAATTGCATATATAGTTGTTACTCCTATGGGAGAGGTTTGAACGTCCTATTTTGGAGCACGCCAGTCGACCTGCTTTCGAGCCACGTCCACTTTTTGGCAAAAATGGAAATTGCCATAAGTCAGTTCAGGTTCAACGGATTTTGCTCATTTCTGGTATGTGAATGAATGAGGACTGGCCCCAAAACATATCACACAGGTTTTGAAACAACTGTGTCGGCGTTCCTTATTCAAAGTATTATTCCGCTCCGCAAGTATATATACGCATCGACATAACATAACATGCACCTTTTGAACTAAAACAGGTATAAGGGATACAAAAAAAAACACGTATGGTGCATGCTTGCGTGGTGTATACAGGAAAAACCCTCGAGTATTAACGTTTATAACTAACTTTTTCACTTTATTTACGAAATAAATGCCGACACAAGATTGATTCACATACCCATTTTAAGTATTTCCGTCTCGTTCATCTCTTGCGTTAATGTTCCTTTCGTGTGACTGCATCCTTCTCTTCCTTCGTCGGAATCTATTCTTCCTTTCTCGTCCTTCTCCTCTCCGTTGACAACCTTGCCGACGCGGCGGCTGCAACGGTCCTCCTTGTCCACGATCTCCAGCCGATCCTCGTCGTCATCGTCGTCGCCGCTAGCGCAGCCTGGCTCCCATCTCATCATCAAAACTCGCTCTTTCCGTCCCTCCCTCCCTGTCTCGCTCTCCGTCATTCTTCCTCTGTTTCTTTGCTGGCCCATAGATCGATATAGTGTTTCGGCTATACTCTCTCCCATCTCGTCATCGGAACTAGCTCTTTCCGTCCTTCTCTCCCTCTCTCGCTCTCCGTCATGCTTCCTATGTTTCGTTGCTGGCTTGTAGATCGATATAATAAAGTATAACTTGCGTTGTGTCCGCAAAGGGATACCCAGGTTTTGGACTGTCACAGGTTTTGGACGCACATACGCGCGTGTGTCTCCTTCCGCAACCAGAACCAGAATCCTCATTCCCCTTACATCTCCCTCTATATATTTCCCAAAACTCCTACAAACCACATGGACCACGCACATGTACCCGTTCTCACAGACTACGTCCTACCCCCCATTTCACAATGACCCTCTAATCTGTATAACCTAACCACGTCTACCATTCTCCCTAATACATCAATGTAGCCGCGCATCTTGTTGAGCGACGCTCTGTCTAGCTAGACTATGGCTAAAACAACTACCAGTCTAGCTCCACTGACTTATCCATGTAACACGTACAAAACAGATGTTACAACATTTCCTCCGCTTCAAATGTTAATAATAGTATAAATTGTATATTGTATTGTTGTATAGTATATTTAAGGATTCTGTCAAACCTAATTAGCGCGATATCAAATTTACAGCCCCGCTATAATAGCTACCAAACGCTTATAACTTACCGCTTGTGTAGTCGGGCTATGTCGTTTGAGGCATTATATACTTTTGTTCCTGCTGTAGAGAGGAAGAAGTACTCATTCTCCCCGGCATCCGTCCTCTCACTCAGCATGGGACGAACGCTCTCAAAGTATATTTGAAACCACTGATGCGACAAAAGAAATCAATAATTATTATTTTGCAATGAAATATCAGTCATGGACTTAAATTAGAACACAAATCCTTAGACATCGTGCTTCCTATCACAGGAGGAATTGGAAGAACAACGCTGTTCACCCGCACATGTTAAAATTCTCGCAATCAATACGTACATACTCCTCCTCCTTGTCCAGTGCAAACATTGCCAGTTGAGTGGAAGCCGTCTTCTGTTCTTTGACGCTTATGACGAAATATTCTCGACCGTTGACTGTGGTTTTCCTCCTGTCAAGCCATTCGCGATCATCATGTTCATGACCACACCTAAAGAAAAAAAAAACATCTATCAAACCATGTATCTTGTATGATCTAATGAAACATAATAATAAGTGGGATCTTCAGCCTGGACACAACCACTCTCACATTGTTCGTCTCAAACACAATATCGTCAGTAGTATACGTGTATTTACATTTTGTACCAATGGCTATTATTGTTTATCTGTTAAGTGGCCATCTCTACATGTTCATCTTGACCGATTACAACCGCATATTCCATCTAGTTTCTATTCATTTATTGAGTTAATATCAGATAACAGAAATACACACCACGGCGTTGGCAGTGCCTTAGCGCAATCACTGCATCTAGGTAGCTAGTGATAAGTGGTAGTTGGCCCTCGGATACCACGCCTCGTTGTGCATCCGTTAGTGCACTAACAAAGTATTCCTTAGCGACCCTCGACACCTTCATACTGTGACGAATTCGGTGGTCTCTAGGACCTGCGGGGTGTCACGGCCCCAACTCAGGCTCTCAGGTAGTGGCACGGCGATGAGAGAATAAGCGAGAGATAGCTCGGCTGACACAGGAGTAGATGCGAATGGACCGGGGGTCCGATTTACTGCATTAAGTACTGGCCGCACGCTCGGCCGGACACGCGTGCTCCCACCATCCTCACTCTAGAGGTCGCCCCGCTGACCCACCGGATGCGCACACACGTAGTATACGCTCAAGTTACAGTAGCTTACTCTTTACGTCGATCGTTCACATCAGCACTACTAGCCTCAGCACACCATTGACGGCGTTCACACACAGTTAACGGTTCGAACGCACGGTAGAATTACGAGGCTGAACCCACTGTATAATCACAGGTCCTGCCTAGCGCGTCCGCACATAGTTAACTCAGCACGGTAGAATTACATACTCGCGCACACAGTAGAATCCACACGGTAGAACTACACGCCCGGCAGACTCATGGTATAACACCCGGGTCTATCCGCACTGACTGGCCAGACGCAAGAGAAAACACAAACACGTCCTCCCTCACCTGCTGCCTGGACGCCAGAGACGTTCCAACACGCTCGTCTCTGCCATTCGCTGGCGACACAATGAGTGTGATAGGCCACGCCCCCTTTGGAACGCCAGGTTAGCTAGGCTAGCGTACGCTAACGCGTGTGTGCACGCCAAACAGTCGCGTGGCGCCATCTATCGCACACAAGATTCGCTACACTGCCCCCTTTCCCACACCTTTTGGCGCCTCCTGGTGCCAACTCTATTCGTCGGCTTCCTTCCCCGGAGTCGGCCCCTTGCTGCGGGAACCGCTCCCCCAACCCGAGATTGATACACCTAATATAGGCCCCCAAAAGGTAATGTCCACTTGCCCGAACGCGACCCCTCCAAAAGACGACAACAACTTGGTCACACCGAATACCGGGATATAGAACGGCAACAACATGGCCGTACGAAATCATACCC